GTTCTGGTACTCCAATCACTCATAGATTATTCCTCTTGATGAAGTCGCACATAATTCTTAGAGTTTCTTCATTTTTTAAAATTCTTTTATCTGATTTTTCCTCAGATAAGTTGGTGTCAAGTGCTTTATCTTCAGTCTCACTTATTCTGACTTGTATTGCCTCAATTCACCTCCTATGACTTTCTATTGAGTTGTCTAATTCTGACATTTTATTGTTAATCTTCTGGATTTCTGATTGCTGTCTCTCTGTGGATTCTTGCAGCCTCTTAAATTTGTCATCATGCTCTTCTCTAATCTTCTTAAGTTCCTCTATTGCTTTGTCTGTGTGTTCTTTGGATGGTCTGCATTTTGACTGATCTCCTTCCTGATCTCTTGAAGTATTCTTTATATTAATCTTTTGTATCCTACCTCTGGTAATTCCAAGAAGTTCTCTTCCTCTGGAAGATTTCTTGATTCTTTGTTTTGGGAGCTTGCTGAAGCCATCATGGTCTGCCTCTTTATGTGATTTGATATTGACCATTGTCTCTGAGCCATCAATAAGTTATTATACTTATTTATTTTATGTTTGCTTACTGTGTCCTAGCTTCTCGTTTTGTTTTGATAGGCTGCTTGTGTGAGCTAGTTTGATTATTGGTGCCTTTGAAGCTCTAATGTCCTGTCACCAGGTGGTTAGATCTGTTACGAGGTATGTTAGCCCAGAAGTCTGTTTACTTTTCTTGTATGGATTCAGCTCAGGGATCCAGGTAGTCAGTCACCAAGTGTGTGGTGCAGGCCTCATCTACATTCCTAGACAGGCAGGGGTGATTGGTTTAGGCACAGGTATCTGGCTGCAGTAGGGGATCACGCTCTGAGGAAGGCAGGGAGCTGAGTGTCTGGGAGGAAAGCATGTCCCTGTTCCCTAGTCTGGGAGGAAAGTGTGTCCCTGTTCCCTAGAACACGTAGGTGGGTGGGTTTTGTAGCCAGATTGTGAGCACCCACTGCTGTTGCCTATAAGGACTGGGAGGCACCACTTATTCTTGGACCCCTGTTGCGGTGGCTAGGTGGCATCGGTGGAGCCACCAGTCATCAGGCCCCTGATGTGGGTATTTGAAGACCCTGCTTAACGGGCAGAGCAGTGTCAAATGTCATGAACCTGCCACTTGACCATACAGCTGATACAGTTGAAGTTAGGCTTCAGGTATAAACCCTGTTGTACTGTGGTAATGAGGGCCTACGCTGTTGAAATGGGCCCACACAGGTTTATGCAGGGGTGAAAGGCATTCAAAGTCTATGGACCCCTTATGCCTGTGCCCAGGCAAAGGAGCCGTGCCTACCCTGAGTTCCCAGCGTAGGGGAGCTGGCAGATTATTTTTTTCCATTTGTTAATTTGTTCCCTCTCGAAGGCCAGGAGAATGGCTCAGGGCACGTGACAGGTCACACTTCTGGCCCAGGAGATTTGGCAATTGGCAATCGCTGAAGCCAGGCCGGGACCCAGTGCAGAGTAGGGAAGGGGCAGGTAAATGGGAAAGAGGTTTTTCCCAAAGGGGGTGTTTTTTGATCTGTGTGGTAGGTTGGACACATGTACTTATCTTTTACCAATTGAGCGCCACTTTTCACTGGTTCTAGAGGCTTGAGTAGACTCTCCACTGCTTGGTCTCTCCTGATGTGGAGAACACCTCCCAAGCACCACTGCTTGCCTCACCACACATGCCAGCCTATCCGGCCTGAAGGGTGTCAGCTCCCACCAGGTCAGGTCTGGCAACTGCTGCTGCTTCCCAATCATCTCTCCCTCCCCCTGCGACTCAGTCCAATTCCTCAACATTGCCTTTGATGTTCAGGGCTCCTACATTGTCATATATAAACGATTCACTTGTTTTTTGGGTCTTTGGGAAGAGGGTCCACAGGAAGCATCTGACTACTCCGCCATCTTCCCCCTGCCTCTGGAGTCTACCTTTCTATGTGATGTCTTGATGGGCCTTTTACCATGATCTCTAGCAAGGAGTAAAACTGACTTTTCTTAGTTTTAGCTTTCTCTTCTAAAACTTTTCATCTGGTAGTGGAGTTATTAAAAGGAATTGAAATAGTCAAGAGCAAGTATCAAGGAAGAAAGGGGGTGGACGATTAAATTTAGATAACCTAAAACAACCTTTGTGCAGTAAGTGTTATTTAATATTTATATTAAGTCTATATACCTATTTATTTATTATCATTAATACTTATATTTAATACAGATGTTGAGCAAGAACTGTATGTCAAGTTCTTTGTCTACATTATCTTTATCCGCACAAAAGCCCTTTGAGGAAAATATTAATTCCATTTAACTGATGAGCTGACTGAGGCATAGAAAGTTAAGTGTCTTGTCCAATGTCACACAAGTAGTACCATACCAGTAAGCTCTTTCTGAACTCTATGCTCTTTCAATCACGTTATAAATGTCTTACATGTCTTCACTGAGTTTTATTTTAATGTTATATCCTTGGCATTTATTAAGGGTTAGTGAAGAAATAAGTTACATGAGGAATATTCCTGCATCTTCTATGAAGCCTATGGTTTGTCCATTAAATTGCAAAATGCCATTCATTCTTTTAGCATATGCCGTGTGCCAGGGATTGTGCTCAGTTCTGGGACTACAGTGTTGAATAAGAGATTGTCACTGCCCTCAAAAAGCTTGCTTAGCAGGATGATGACAGGTAGACTCTCTTTGTGGTTATTACTATGGACTTTACAGTAAAACTTCCCAAGTTTAGATTGCAGCTCCACCCTTAGTGGCTCTGTGACTTTGAGCAAGTTACTTTCTAAGCCTCAGTTTCTCCATTTGTAAAGCTATGATGATGCTGATAATAGACCTAGCTTATAGGGCTGTTGTGAGGAACCAGTGTAATAATACATTTGAAGTGCTTCATAGAGTGCCTGGTACTCTTAATAAAATGATAAATGTTATCATTTTTTATGAAATAAGCTGTGATGACAATAGAAAAAAAATGCTCTGATACAGGTATGCTAAAATTCCATTGTTGTGAGCAAGAGGAATAAGTGTCTAAATTAGATTGGCAGGGGAAAGTGGAAAGAAATTCAGGGCATGCTTCCTAGTGGAGCTAACCTTCATATATCCATGACTAAAGAATTACAGGAGGCTGGGTGGCACAAGTGGTTTGCAATCGGCTGCTAACCTAAGGGTTCGCAGTTTGAACTCACCAGTGGTTCCACAGAAGAAAGGCCTGGCGAACTGCTTCCTAAAGATTTAAAAAAAAAAAAAAAAACTCACTGCTGTCGGGTTGATTCTGATTCACAGCGACCCTATAGGACAGAGTAGAGCTGCCCCCACAGGGTTTCTAAGGAGTGGATGGTAGGTTCAAACTGCCAACCTTCCGGTTAGCAGCCTGAGCTCTTAACCACTACACCACCAGGGCTCCTCCTAAAGATTACAACCAAGAAAAACCTTTGGAACAATTCTACTCTGTAACACATGGGGTCGCTGTGAGTCAGGGGTTGCTATGAGTCAGGGGCCAACTCTGGCAGCTAACAACAACAACAACAAAGAGCTACATGTTACTTATTTTTAGATTTCCATTTCAAGAACAATTTTCTCTCTTTGGATGAAAGAGCATGTACCCTTTCACTGGTGAATAACAATTATATAACCTATTTATTCCCTTTCTCGTAATGATCAGGAAGCTTATAGCCAAATTTAATGCTTTATTTAACAAGACTATATAAGCCTGGAGTTTGATAAATATCCTCAGTGATCTTTAACTTCCTCTTTTTAAATTATGTACTTACTTACATTTCACTTTCTTTTTAAAGTTTAATAGTGTTATAAAAGTCTTTTATTTTAAAACATTCTGTAGAAGTGGGTACATTACAAATAATCTGCAAAGTATGTAGTCTTCCCCTGAGAACTCTGTGTAAATCCAGTAAAATTTTTAATTTCAGGTATCGTTAGCAGGCGAAAAGAGTTCCCATACAGGATACCATTAGATTTGGTCCCCAAAACAAAAGTGAAAAGGATTGTGAGTGTAAAAGGTAAATTAACTAATGCCATTTGTATTGCATATTTCACTTCCTGCTTCAAACAAAAATCAAATATACTCATGATTATTCTATTTCTCTGCTTCTATGCTCAGTAGCACAGAAAAATCCAGCTCTAGGAGTATATCCTACCTCCATCCCCTATCTTCAAACCCCCATCACTTTTCCAACTATCGTCTTTTACTAGCCTGATTTAAACGGGGATTTGTTCTCCCGTGATAGAGAGTGGGGGCTGCCATTGGCCCAAAGACTTTTCTAAAACGGATAATACAACTACTTCTAGACTTAAAGAACATTCCATGGTCTTAACAGCCAGTCCTGCTCCAGAGAAGGCTTTATGACCTATAAATGGCCCAAGAGAGCCATATTTCTCTGCTAAATACCAGTCCCAGAGAGGTCTCTCCCCTCTAGTATAGTTACAAAAATGTGGTCTTTGGTGGGTTTTCCTTGATGTCCTGCTTTTACAATTCAATAGCTTATCATCAAAATGATAGAATGTCCTGAATGCATTTTATCTCAGATGAAACCTTGGAATTCCAGAATGTTAGCACTATAGGGAAACTTTTTTTTTTTATTGTACTTTAGATGAAGGTTTACAGAACAAATAGTTTCTCATTAAACAGTTAGTACACATATTGTTTTATGGCAGTGGTTAACAACCCCACAACATGTCAACACTCTCCCTTCTTGACCTTGGGTTCCCTATTACCAGCTTTCCTGTCCCCTTCTGCCTTCTAGTCCTTGTCCCTGGGCTGTTGTGCCCCATTAGTCTCGTTTTGTTTTATGGGGCTCTCTAATCTTTGGCTGGAGGGTGAAGTTCAGGAGTGACTTCATTACTGAGCTAAAAGGGTGTCTGGGGGCCATACTTTCGAGGAACTTTTTGATCATGCACAACCCTGATGTTGGATATATAAGAAAGTGACTTGCCAAAAATCACACAGAAAGTTATGAACTGAGTCACGGCACCCCCAGTTCAGGCTCTTTGCTTTGCTTTGTGTAGGACAGTGAGTCATATGTTTTACAGTGTATACAGCTATCGAGTTGAATGGCAAGCAATTTGCCATATCCTCTATGCAGCAATCTGTCCACTGTATTACACCATCTTATCACCATATTGCATACATAATTTAAAGCCTACTTTTGGTGTTTCTTTTAAATCCATGTTCCTAATTAGTTCTTGTCCCTGTTCTGAGAAGTAATTCAACCCTAGATAAGAATGGAAGAATAGAGATAGATAAGCTTCCTTCTTTAGAATATACTATGCCTCAGTTAAAAATTGATGTAAAGTGGCTGTGTCTACTCTGATTTCCTTTTTGTTACAGGACTGCTTATAGGTGAGGTCATGTCTGCAGTTCTGAGTAAGGAAGGCATGGACATCCTAACCCACCTCCCTAAGGGGAGTGCAGAGGCAGAGTTGATGAGCATTGTCCCAGTATTTTATGTCTTTCACTATTTGGAAGCAGGAAATCATTGGAACATTTTTCATCCTAACTCATATACAAAAAAACAAAACCTGAAGAAGAAATTAAAAGAAGGTGAAACATTTATTTCACATATTTTACATAAAAATATAGTGTTTTTTAAATGGATGTTTCAACAAAACTAATGTTTAAGCTGTTATGGATTATATTAAGCCTTAACTGAAAAAGCATTTTAGCAATTATATACGTGGCCTCTACTATATAAATACTATTTCTGTAGCATTTTGGCTTCACTTACAAAAATGCCTGGATAAGAGAAAGACACCTGCATTCCAAACTTTACAGAGTACTTCCTTCCTTCTTGAATGAGATCGGAATGTTCTACTTGATAATTCCCAATTGAAGCAATTCACATAATTCCTTTGAGAAATTCAGTGTTGGCCACAGAGCATATACTTGCCCAACACCAAAAGTTTACCGTCCCCGGGGTGGATAAGGAGCTCTTTGAGTAGAAACAGAGTTCATTGAAGCTCTCTGTTCTTTTTCTGATGCCTCTTAGGGATGGTGAGCATCATGTCCTACAGAAATGCTGACCATTCTTACAGCATGTGGAAGGGTGGAGGTGCTAGTACATGGTAAGTGGAAGGTTTTGACTTGCATTTTCATATAGTGATTGATATCTAGAGATCTACTAATACTTACAATTAACTAAAGAATAACAACCATAATGGAAGCTCTATTCCTCCAGTTCCTCAGGCTACAAGCCTAGTCATCCTTCATTCTTCCAATCCATATCTGATCCAGCAAATATTTTTGTCTGTAAGTTCAAAATATATCCTGAATTTGATGACTTCTCACCAACCCCCACCACACTATCTTGGTCTAAGTCACTATCACTTCTCACCTGGATTATTGCAATAGCCTCTTCTGGTCTTTCTGCTTCAGCCTACACTTGTTCCTCTTCAGTCTATGCTCAACACAGCATCCAGAGTGACCCTGTTAAAAAATAAGTTGGGTCACGACACTCAAAACCCTGCAGGGGCGAACAGAAATGAGCTTACCTTTAGTGGCTAGGAGCTCCCCGAGGCAGAAACGTAGCGCGGGTGGGGGTGGGGAGGGGTGAGGGGTGGGGTGGAGCAGATGGGGGAACCTGCCCCCGGGAAGAAGTCCAAGGGCACGAGGCGTGGAATGATATTTCGAGCTGCGCCGCGAGGCCCGCCTGCGCCGCGAGTACCTGTACGGCAAGGGCCGCGAGGAAGCGCGGCGAACGGCCCACGAGAAGAAGGAGAGGCTCCGGCGCGCGCTCGAAGAGAACCGCCTGATACCCACCGAGTTACGCCGGCAGGCTCTAGCCTTACAGGGATCCTTGGAGTCTGACGACGCTGGTGGTGAAGGTGTAACCAGCCATGTGGATGATGAATATCGATGGGCAGGGGTTGAGGATCCCAAGATCATGATCACCACCTCCCGAGACCCCAGTTCCCGCCTCAAGATGTTTGCAAAGGAGCTAAAGCTGGTGTTTCCAGGAGCACAGCGCATGAACCGAGGCCGGCATGAGGTGGGTGCGCTGGTGCGAGCCTGCAAAGCCAATGGAGTCACTGACCTACTGGTTGTTCACGAGCACCGGGGCACACCTGCTGCTCCCACCCCTCACCCCAGGCACCACATCTACAAGAAGATGGATCCCCACAATGTGGAGCTGACCGAGGTTGGACCTCGCTTCGAGCCGAAGCTGTACATGATTCGCCTGGCACCCTGGAACAGGAGGCCACGGCCGATGTAGAGTGGTGCTGGCACCCAGACACCAATACCGCACACAAGAGGGTCTTCTTGAGTGCTGAATGAGCCTTGCCTGTTGGTCAGAGACATGGACTTGGAACCCAAAAAGTGGAATTGTCACAGACCCACGATGCTATAGACATGGGTTTTGTAGGAGAGATGGAGTCAAAATAAATCCTGTGTGTCAAAAAAAAAAAAAAAAAACAACAACCCTTCAGGGGCTTCCCATCTTACCCAGGGTAAAAGCCAAACTTCTTACTGTAACCTATAGAGCCCTATGTGATCTGGCCCCACCTCACTTTTCCAACCTTATCTCCTACTCCTCTTTAATTCCACTCCTGTTGGCCTTCTCACTGTTCCTCAAACACTCCAGGCACCATTCTACCTCAGGGCTTTTGTACTGATTGTTCCCTCTGTCTGAAATGCTCCTCCTCACGTTATCAGCATGGCTGGCTCCCTTACTTCCCTCAGTTTTTACCAAAAGTCACCTCTCAGTGAGGCCTCTGCTAATCATTCTATCTAAAATTTCAACCCTCCCTCACCAAAGCACTTCATATCTTTCTCCTCTACATTCTTTTTCTCCTTATCACTAACATTCTTACTTATCTCCCTTATTGTCGGTCTCCCCCACTAGAATGTAACTTCCATGTGGTCAGCTCCAAGTATTCCTAGTGCTTGGTATGTGCCTGGCATACAGTAGCTGTTCAATAAATCTTTAATCATGGAAGCATAATAACTTCTATAATTCTCATGATTTGAGGGACACAGAATAAATTAACTAGAAGTCCATATGGCAGTCTGTTAAAAAAAAATTATCCTGCTTTTGGCAAAATATTTAACAAAAAACACTGTGTGCCAGCTATTTTGTAGTCTTTCCTGTATAAAACTCATTCAAGGAGTTTGTAACCTAAAATGGCTTACTTTTAGATTATGCCTTTCAACTACTGAAGAGTTCTCAGCCCTTCTTATTTTCTGAAATCTCACCTTATACAATCCCATCTTTGCTCATAACTTCCACAACTTCTATGCTGATGACTCCCTAACCCATGTCTCAAAGCCTAACTTCTTTCCTAAGTTCCAGATCCACATTTCTAGGTGTCTGGGAACCAAAGACCCTTCAAACACAATCTGTGTCAAATTCATTCTTTTCTTCTTCTAACACAATTCTCCTCTGTTGCCTTAATCAGTGCACAACAATACTCTACACTTTGTCCCCTTTCCACCAAGTCAGACTTGTCAGTTGGTTCGTTACTTCTCCCTTTCCTTTTGGCGCTATATCCAGTCACCAAGTCCCACAGATTGTTCCTTAGAAGTAGGTCTAATATCCTGTGTCCATGTATGGGTGGCACATTTTAAAACACGCATAGACCCCCATTCTAGGGTAAAAACATCAAAAAGTTTAGTAAAGCAAAAAGAAAAGTTTTATTCGGCATACATTCAAGAGGCAAAAGCAGGAAATGAACAAGCATGCTGCCAGAGCCATGTCTGCCCAAATCCAAGGAATATTACAGAACAGACAAAAGTGGGAATGGACAAGTATGCTGCTAGAGCCATATCTGCCCAAGCCCAAGGAAATATTACAGCATAAGCAACAGTGGAAAAAATGGACAAGCATGTGTATATTAACGCTACAAAATAGGTAAAATCATTGAAAGCTTCACCTTTTCACAGATTGGCTAGAAACTGTGATCCTACATTTTGAATTGTCTTTCTTAACAATCATTGGTACAGGTTTCAGTAAAGACAGTCAGGAGGGTCTTCATTGGTCCAACAAATCTTACTATTCACTGAAAGGCTAATAAAAAAAGATAAGAATGGAAAGTATGTGGGACTTTTGTGCTCTTTTTATGATTTGTTTATGTGAAAAGTTCCCTAGAAGATGTTTTCCAAGATTGTCCTAGCTATTATCTTTATACCTCAGGCCCAACTGATGTGTCCTTGTGACTGTTTGTTAAGTCCAGCTCCAGCTGGGTCACATTTTAGGACAGGGAATAATGGTTCCAATATTATCTCCTAAATCACCGCTGGAGCATACCAATCAGAAGATAACAACCAGGATGCAGGGGAGGGGTAGATATTGATGTGGACTAGAAACTACCACAACAGAAACTGGGAATAAATGCCTGGAGAACAGAACCGCCCCCTCCCCCTCCCCACCCCACCCCCGGCAAAAGAAGACATGATAGCCTCTCAGTAAATACCCAGAACCCTTCAAGAGTTTCGGGAAAAGACTGAGTGGATTGTGTTCAGCCAAAAACATAAAAACACTGAGTATTGTCCTAGAACCAACTCCACAAGTTCCTTGAGAGAAATACATACATAAAAGAAAATGGCCAGCACCTGAATACCCTTAAAGTTGTTTGAGAAGTATAGGGAAGACACAAAAAATAAAGTTATCCATATTAACAAAACCCAAAATTAACAACTGTGAACATTTTTCTTATTAGCTTAGTCTTTTTTTTTTTTTTTTTTTAAGAAAGAAACATTACAGAGATAGTTCAAGTTTTCCCTTTAGCCACAAGTCTCCATCTTATTCCTGTTTCCCCTTCCCCAAAGGAACTCACTATTATGAGTTTGTACATCCTTCCAGGTGGAGGGAGACAGGGGCTGGAGGGAAACTTTTCATTATATATCCTTTATGCTTTTGGATTCTTAAAAAATAATTTATTTTATTTTTTGTTGTTGTTGAAAATATACACAGCAAAACATACACCAATTCAACAATTTCTACATGTACAATTCTGTGACATTGATTACATTTGTCAAGTTGTGCAACCATTCTCATTCTCCTTTTTCAAATTGTTCCTCCCCCATTGACATAAACTCACTGCCCCTAAGTTTCCTATCTAACCTTTCGAATTGCTGTCATCAATTTCATCCCATTTAGATAGTTCCATAAAAGCACACAATGCTCAAGGTAGACAGTCTTTACTAATTGAATTAAACTATTGTTGGGTTTTAGGAAGACTTCAAGGAATATTTTGGTTTAAGGTTTAAAGATTATCTCAGGGCAATAATTTTGGGAGTTCATCCAGCCTCAGTGCTTTTGGATTTTTGAATCGTATGAATGTATTACCTCTTGAAGAAATATTAACTTAAGAATAAATTGAAAAAATAAAACAAATTTTAAAAGTTAGGGAAGTGAAGGGAAGAGGGAGGGCTGGATCTCAGAGACATTTAGGGAGTGTGGAGAGTGAGCAGCTCTTGGAAAGCTGGAGTGGTTGAGAGAACAGGAGGAGAAGGATGGAGTTGTAAGAGGTGCTGTGGGGTTATGAATTGGATCCTCTCTGATATTATCTGAGAGATACTCATAGAGATTAAAATTCCTTTTTGACTAATAGCGATAATTAAAGCTTCCTTCTGACGTGATGAGTTTCCTGTCAAAGACATCATTCAAGGAGAAGCCAGATACACTCTCGGGGGTGTTGAAGAACGAGTTCATGCATCAGCTAGGGATTTAGATTAGATGGCCTTTACAGATCTTACAGTCTAGGATTTTATAATTTTACTCTTCTATGTCTTGTGTTCTTTTATTTATTCAGTCAATATTTGTTGAATAGGTACTAAGTGTCTGTGCCTTGACTCAAAAGTGTTTGTTTCACCACTCTTATCTTCAACTTCAGATAGTATATATTTTTTAATCACCAGAAATCAATTTCTAGTTTGTATACTGGCTAACAATGCTATCATCACAGAAGATGTAGATGTGCGGCACATATTTACCGACTGAACATTTCAGAGATCTTCCTGCAATCTTCCCTTCCACTATAAAACAGCAACAACTTATATGTTTCTAAATGGTACTTTCTTTTAAAAAAAATAAGTGTTCTATGGACTAAGACACTCTCTAAATTGAAATCCCAAAGAGATTTAATGTCAAATATTTATTTGATTTTTGTCTTAAAGGTTAACAGCTTTTGCTGTAAGAATACTTGGACAAGTAAATAGATACGTAGATCAGAACCAAAATTCAATTTGTAATTCTTTATTGTGGCTAATTGAGAATTGTCAATTAGAAAATGGATCTTTCAAGGAAAATTCCCAGTATCAACCAGTAAAATTACAGGTAAGGAAACAAATGTACAGATTAGCAGTAGTTCTTTTTACAAATTTCAGTTTAGTTCTCCCTATTTTGGGAAGATGAAGAAGAGGAAAAAAATATGTAGTCATCCAAGAAATGCTCTGGTGTGCAAGCAAAGAATATGAATGGCTTTTCTGTACTGCTGTCCAATCCAGATAAGTCAGATAAAGTGATGTCTTAGACCTCTCGTATAACAGTCATTTGCGGTTCATAGGGGGTAAGTACTAGAGATCTCAGAATGAGTAAAATGTACTAATTTGCCCTCCTACTCTTGGCACAGAGCCCTGGTGGTGCAGTGGTTAAGAGCTTGGCTGCTAACCAAACTAACCAAAAGGTTGGCAGATCAAATCCACCAGCTGCTCCCTGGAAATGGGGCAGTTCTACTCTGTCCTATAGGGTTGCTATGAGTTGGAATCAACTCAGTGGCAATGGTTTTTTTTGTTTTTGTTTTTTGTTTTGTTTTGTTTTGTTTTTGCTTTCTTGGTACAGAATCTGTGCCAATTGTGCAGAGTCTTCTTACAAGTCAAAGCTACACAGTGTTGTCATGAAAGATGGGACCCTATTTATATTCTATTGGCAAGAGAGATTGGGGTCAATTTATTTTAAAAGTGTTACTTGAGATTAGAATCTATTTACAAAGCTTGAATTACATTCTCTAATTACAATCTCTCTCCATGTCCTTCTACTCTTTAGAATGTTTCTTTAGGATTCAACAGAATCTTTTATGTTTTTGCCTGCCCCAATCAAATCCCTTTCATATCAGTCATGAGTGATCTCTGCTGCTAACAGTGGTTCATGGTGGTCTTCTGTTGCATCAATAGCAGATTTAGGACTCCCACAAGAAATGGGGCAACTGACGTCATCTAGGTGCTATTTTAAGAATAAAGTGTTGTAACACTTTTTTCTTCAGACATCCATCCATCCATACACTTACAATTCTTTCAACAACCATTCACTGAGTACCTAATAAACGCAAGGGCCTATTCTAGGCATGGTGGGCAGGGGAAGGATAGACTAGACGGTATTCCTACCACAAGGGAGCTCACACACTGGTAGGAAAGGTGAGGTATAAATGTTAGTATTACTACTAGCAACTCTAATCAAGATATGTATGTGTGTTCCAAGGAAGAGTGTTCCAAGCACAGCAAACAGCATGCCTGGCATTTTGAAGTGAAGAGAGTGTGGTTCACTCAAAGAACAGGGGCCAAGAGAGCTAGGGGGTGAGTGGCATGAAATGAAGCTGGAGGGGTAAATAGAGGCCACTTTGTGGAAGGTCTTGTAAGCATTGCTTTGGAATAGCATTGCCATAAGAGTAAAAAATATGGGTGATCCAAAACCAAATAGTGCTTCATAGAGGAGGTGCCATTTTAAAAAGGTCTTGAAGGAAGGGGAGAATTTAAATGTGGTGAGGAGGTATGAAGCAGGGCTAGGAGCAGGAACAAGTGAAGGCATGCAAGTGAGAAAGACCCAGAATTTTTGTGAGAAACAGCAGTGCATGAAGGGGAAGAGTGGGAGATAAGGCTCAAAAGGGAGATTAGAACCAGGTCACTTCACTTTAAAGACACCATTTTCACTCTCCTTTTTAAACATTGCTTATTTTTAGGGTACCTTGCCTACTGAAGCCAAACAGAAGTCCTTATATCTTACAGCCTTCACTGTTATTGGAATTAGAAAGGCATTTGATATATGCCCCCTGATGGTAAGTAAAAAAATTTCTTTCTCCAACACCCATCATCTACTTCTAGGGGGACCAATAATCACAAGGTACTTAATTTCAAAACTTCTTTTCCTTCTTTTCACATTACTTGAAAAAAACTTTAACTCCAGAATCAAAGGATTTCATAACTATGATAGAAATTAGAGACCACCTTGTCCAACATACTCATTGACAGTTGAGGAAACTGAGTCTTGTAAGTAAGGTAAATTTAATTGCCCAGTGTCACAGGCTACTAAATTGTAGAGCTAGGACTAGAACTGATAACATCTGACCATTTGTTACGGGAGAATGGCCTGTTCTCAGCCCCCCTCTCTTATCTTTGCTAAATCTTATTCTATGTCTGTTACTATTATTCCGTAGTTGAGGTACTCTATATTATGAAACCACTGAGGATACATGTTAGCAAGTTTGTTTCATTGGGTTGTGTTGTTTTCATTTGTTTGGAAGCTGAGGGGAGGAAAGAGAGGATTTACCTAAGTGAATCAACATAGAAGATTCCAAACGTTAATGGAGCTAATACCCTCATCTGGGAGGAATTAAATCCCCGAGCTAAGGTTAAATATGTTGTCGATTCTGCCTCATAGTGACCCTAAAGCAGGCCTTCAAACCCCTGCTGAGAATTTGCATTTCTACTCCAGATATACTGAGTCAAAACCTAAAGTTTAATAAGATCCCCAGGTGATTTTTATGTATAATAAATTTTGAGAACCACTGCTCTACTAGTGGTTCTCAGAATTGGTCCCTAACCAGCAGCATTAGCGTCACCTGGGAACTTGTTAGAAATGCAAACGAACCAGTTGGAAGCCCTGCCCTATAGGACAGAGTAGAACTAACTGCTCCATAGGGTTTTCTAGGCTGAAATCTTTACAGGAGAAGGTTGCCAGGTCTTTTCTCCTGTGGAGCACCTGGTGGGTTCGCGTCTGGAACCTTTTGGTTGGCAGCTGAGCGATTAATCATTGCACTACTAGGACTCCTTGAGGTTAAATATACCTGCCTACAAATCAGAAGTAAATTAGACATGTCCTTCAAACGAAGCTACAGAACTGAGGTGGAAAATTTCAGGGGTACTTGCAGGATTTGAACCACAAAACAAAACAATTTTTTTTTTAAATTTCAAGAGAACTAGTATTTATACTTATAAGACAAAAGAGTGAAAGAGAACCAGTTCCCAGGGGGCTAGAGAACCACATGACTGAGAGATACAGATGGAGTTGGGGGAAAAGGATCCAGGTGAGATGTTAGAAGCCTTGCATGAGGCTTCCTCCTAATCCGCTTATCCCAAATAACTATTCTAGATATCTCAGAAAAGGGAAGTAGGACTATTTTTCCTGGAGTCCTTAGGATCAAAAAGTACTCTGGCAGCTAGGCTTTTTTTTTTTTTTCTTTTTACTGCTATTTATGTTATTTTTAGTAAAGCTCCTTTTGAAGGGGTGAACCTGTCTCAGCTATGCAGAGGGAGGATGATGAAAGCTGGTCCATGCTCAGTGTTCTATCTTCCTGGAGGCTAGGTCTGATGCTGGAAGAAGAAACTTAAGGGGAAAAATCTGCAAAGGGGAGGTGAGAACTCGGAGGCAAAAGGCTTAATCCTCTTTGGACTATTACATTTTCCCTTCAGAGATCATGCTCTGCTCCTTCTCTTGGAAGGTTGTGCTTCAGCAAGATGCCATCATTCCCATTAGGTTGATCATCTTTCCCCCAGTCATCTTGCCACCCTAGGATTGTGAAACCTGGGGGTAGTTCACATCAATTGGTAGGCTGATGCTTGCCAAGGAAACTTAGGGTTTTTTCTGCTCTTGTTTTCAGAAAATCAACACAGCTCTTGCTAAAGCTGAAGGCTTTTTGCTTGAAAATACCCTCCCAGCCCAGAGCACCTTTACACTGGCCATTGCTGCGTATGCTCTTTCCCTGGGAGATTCAACACACAGACAATTCCGTTCAATTGCTTCAGCCCTGAAGAAGGAAGCTGTGGTGAAAGGTATGACTCACCCCATACATTTATTCAGGAAGTAGTCACTAAGCACATAGAGTCTGCTAATCCTGGGAAGGGGGTGGTGGCATGCAAAGGTGACAAGACACAGTCCCTGCCTTCAAGAAGCTCACAGGTTAAGACTGGTGTAAATAAATCATCACAACACATTGTAATAACTATCACTATGCAATCATTTTTTCATTCTTTTGGGAATATTTGTTCATTTCTTTACTTAACAAATGTTTATTAAGCACCTCCTGTATACCAAGCACTGTTCTAGGCTCTGGTAATAAGTCAATAAACAACTCAGACCGAAAAAAAAAAAAAAACCCAGCCCTAATGAAACTTACATTCCATTAGGAAGAGGCAGACACACAAGATAAAAAGTAAAACACTGTATGTAGAGAATAAGTTTGTGGTAACTGATATAAAGATAAATACAGCCAAGAAGGAAGACAGGGCAGTGGATAGGGGTTGTAATTTTAGATAGGGTGGGTAAGTATCACTGAGAAGATGGTATTTGAATCAAGACCTGAGAACAATGAGGAAGCCAGTCCTAGAGCTATCTGGAAGAAGAGTGTTCCAGACAGAGAAAGCTCATGCAAATACCTAGAGGCAGGAATGTGCCTGGTACTTCAGGAATGGCAAGGAGGCCAAAGTGGCTGGAGAGGAGTGAGCTAGGGGGTAGGAAATGAGGTCGGGGAGAAAAGGGCAAGAGGCTGAGGGGAGCTTATGCAGGGCCTTGGAGGTCATTGCAGGGTCTCCGCAGGGCTACTGGGTACAGTTGTGCAATGTACAAGGCACCTAAGCAAGTGGGTGAATGAAGCTGAAATGCAGCCCATGCTCCACTCACCCAGCCATGCACCCTGGTTTAGGGCTGCTTCCACCCAGAGCAAGGGGTGCCTGTTTCTTATTCACCTGAAGTGCTCAATGGGTTAGTGGAAGCCCTAGAACTTTGACTTCTACTTTGGAGCCCTGGTGGTTAAAGCGGTGGTTAAAGTGCTAGGCTGCTAACCAAAAGGCTGGTGGTTCGAATCCACCAGCTACTCCTTGGAAACTCTATGGGGCAGTTCTACTCTGTCCTGTAGGATCCCTATGAGTCTGAATCAACTCTACGGAAATGGGTTGGGTTTGTTGTTGAGTGAGAAGGGAAGCTAGTGGAGGGTTTTAAGCAAAGGAGTGCATGACCTGACTTATATTTTATCATTTTATATAAAGGTATGTATTTCAGCTTGAAGAGTAAGGATACTGCTTTCTATAGGTCAAGAGAGAGAACTAGAAGGAGTAGCGGTGATCATTGTCCACTGTGCCTTAATCAACATAGACATGGTCGGGCACTTCTGAGCCATCTTTAGGCTGAGATTTTTTTTAAGTTTTATAAACTTTATGTGACTTTTATAACCACTACAAATTTTGACTACTGTCATCATTTTAAAATGACTAAATCTTAATATATATCTCAAAACCACTTGTACAACACTTAAAAAATAACATAAAAGAAATGTCTTGGGTATTGTAAGTTATAGAGTAAAAATCAAGAATTTAAGAGCTAGAAGAGAATTTAATATAATCAAAGAGTGTTTGAGCTGGAAGATAAAATCAAAACTCATTTTAAATATAAGAAATCTAAGTCTCTGAGAGGGAGGGAAGTATATGTTCATGGTCATGCAAATAATGTAGTTATAAATTATAAATAGACACATCAATATTTTGACTAATCTTAATAAATTATTTCTAAATATACTTTACTGTTTTTAAATTTTTTAAATATAATTTGTTCCAAAAAGCCAGTTGTAAATTACTAGAGCAATAAAAAACTTAGATGTAATTTAGAACATAAGTTATGAAAGATGCTGCATATTTGAAATTGTCTTTTGTATTTTAAATTGGGAAGAGATAATAAAAGACTGAATTAAAATTCAGTATGATCTCATAATCTCCAGGATACAAATTTTCTCCATCAGGGGGAAAAATTCCACAATTTATCTTGTAGTGTCAGTATAATAATAATCCTCTGTATGTATATGGTGCTTTATTGTTTACAAAAACTCACATTTAGTATGTCATTTGAGTTTTACTACAAGGAAAGAAGTATTATTTTCAGTTTAAGTATTAGGAAACTGAGTCCCACAGAACTGAAGGGATTTGCCCAAGGTGATGTGACCAGTTAGTAGTAGAGACTAGAACCTGGGCCTAATAATTCCTAGTTTACGGGACTTTCCATCTACTATACTTCTCCCTAGAACATGCTGACTTTCCATATTGACCTTTTTTTAAATAAAGACAAATAGCACTATATTATGGAATCTTGTTTTGTATTAGTCACCCTGAGGAAGTTACAAAAAAAAAAAAGAAACTTCTAGAAACCTGAAGGCTGTAATATACCTACTAGAATTGTTATGTCAAATTCACATTTTTAATCATGTTAACAAATAGAATTTGTTAATGTTCAGGCAATCCACCCATTTATCGTTTTTGGAGAGATGATCTTCAGCGCAAAGACAGCTCTGTACCTAACACTGCTACAGCACATATGGTAGAAACCACTGCCTATGCTTTACTCACCAGCCTGGGCTTGAAGGATATGAATTATGTTAACCCAATCATCAGATGGCTATCTGAAGAGCAGAGGTATGGAGGTGGCTTTTATTCTACCCAGGTAAAATTTATTTGTCTTGTTCATCCTGTAGACATGTTTACTATCTTCCACACTACACATTCCACATTCATTCTGGCCTACATGCTTTTGTCCACCAAATGAGCATACCATAGATAGGAATAAATGTTCAGAATCAAAGGACACTTAGAGGTTGTCTGCATTGTCACTCTCATTATACAGAGGAAAGAATGAGCCCGGAAGGTTCATTTAGGGAGTTAGTAGCAGAGCCAACATCAGAACTCACATCTCCTGATTCTAACCCAGTACTTCCTTATGATTCTTAGTACTATGAGAGGCTAGTAACGTTACCAGCAATCATGTCACATTCTACAGAATAAACAATGCCTTCCATGTAGACAAAGATACAGATATTGTTCCCACATTATACGTTTATCTATCATCTACCAAAGTACTTATTTAATTAAGTGTATTTTATGTTATAACTGGAAACCCTGGTGGCATAGTGGTTAAGAGCTGCAGTTGCTAACCAAAAGGTCAGCAGTTTCAATCCACCAGGAGCTCCTTGGAAACTCTATGGGGCAGTTCTACTCTGTCATATAGGGTCGCTATGAGTCGGAATCAACTCAACAGCAACGATTTTTTTTTTAATGTTATAACTATTATGTAGTTGTACGATATACATCTATACTCAAAATTTAGCTCAAATGTGAACATCTTTCCTCTTTTCTGAATGTATGAATAATGACAGTGTGTGTGTCCATTTATATAAAATTCAGAGCTAGAGGGGCCCTTCAGGATCACTTTAGTGGTCACTCATCTGGTGAGGTAAATGGGTTTCATCTTGGTACAACTGTAGGCTTAACAAGAAAGAGTTCCTATTGGTTAGCATTGGCTGTCATGGAGCCAGGCACAGGGATAGCCATATATTTGCCATCTCTGATCTAGTCACACTTCCTTATTTTATAGATGAGGAAGATGAGGTTCAGAAAGGTAAAGTTTATTCATTTTTTCATTCAACAAATATTAGTATTGACTAGCTACTATATACAAGGTGCTGGAAATATAATGGATACCAACAAAAATATGCTACCTGCCCCCATGAGTCTTACGTTACAATGGGGGAGGCCAACAATAAACTATAAATAAAATGATTATAAATTGTGATGAATGCTATGAAGCACACAAGGAGAACATTAAACAGAGAATAATGGGAAGAGGGCCTTACAGTGGAAATATTTAAGCTGGACCAGAGAATGAGGAGATAGCCTTGCAAAGAGTGACTTCCCTGAGGTCACACACACAGGTTATATAGAGATCCTGGATCTAAGCCACACTTCCTGTTCCTACTACCTACTCCTCTGCCTTTACCCTTGTAGTCCACTAGAATCTGCATCCTTACTGATGAGAAAGGCCTTCCTTCCGCCTCCACACTGGAGCCCTTTACCAGTTTCACTCAGTCACACTGGAGTTTTATCTCTGGACAATGCTGTTCCACCCTTTCATAAGAAAGGACATTTGTAAACAGGGAGGATAGAGATAAGCTAAACATATTTTTGTGCCTTGCTGATTATTGATAGGATACAATTAATGCCATCGAGGGCCTGACAGAATATTCACTCCTGGTGAAACAACTCCGCTTAGATATGGATATCAATATTTCTTACAAGAAAAGAGGTGACTTCCACCGTTATAAGATGACAGAGAAAGATTTCCTTGGGAGGCCAATAGAGGTAAATGAACAATCTTTTATAATATTTTACAATTGAATGGGACCTTTGAAATCATCTGTTTCATCCTTTTTTTCCAAATGTATTTATTCATCACTTAAACAAATATTGAGTGCTTGCTATGTACTAGGCACTGGGGGTTCAAAAGCAAAACACAAAGAACCTGTCTACTGTGGGGAGGTAGTAATTTAAACAGGCAGTCAGAAATAGCATCATGGAAGTACAGAGGAAGACATCCTGAAACAGGCTGAGTGAAGGGAACTTGTCAAATGTGTCCTGATGCATGGGTTAAATCTAGAAGAATCAGAGTGAGTTAGCCAGATGAAGAGGAGGGAAGAACATTCCAGACATAGAAAACAGCATGTACAAAGGTACAATGATAGAGTAAGAGAAAAGACATGCTTGGGAGTCTGCCAGTGGTTCCAAATGGCCCCAATCACACATGCAGACAGTGACAGAGTTGGAATTGGCATTTAGGCCCCTAACTCCTTGTCCCATATTCTGCTACAGCTGGTCATTTAAAAGTGAAAACTTGATGGCTTATGATAATTTCCCAAAGACAAGGACACTTTGGAAAAACTAGTTTCTATACTAATAATAAACCAAAAAACCCACTGCCATTGAGTCAATTCCAACTCATAGGGACCCTATAGGACAGAGCAGAACTGCTCCATAGGGTTTCTAAGGAGAAGCTGGTGGATTTGAACTGCCAACCTTTTGGTTAGCAGCCATAGCTCTTAACCACTGCAATACTAGGGCTCCGCATAGTAATAATAGTAGCTGCTATTATACAGTATTAGTATTAGAAAAACGTATTTTTCTAATTACTACATTTTAAATTATTTCCAAGTATATTTAACTATACAAATAATTAGAATTAGTTCTGTCTACATCCTCTTTAGAGTCCACAAATCTGTGTTTGTTGTAGGTAAATAGGTATAACAGATAAAATTTAATGTAGAAATTACAAAATGGTAGCCTGTAGTTAAAAAAAAAAAGATAAGTATATGGATATAGATATATAGACCTAGAGATATAGTCTAATATTTAAAAATAGTAATAAAAATCTGATCTGTAACTTTTCTTGAAAAACTAAAATATCTGGGAAAATGTCTTCAATTTGCCACAGTCCCCACAAACACAAGCATATCCATACTTGCTTCATGCCTGGACCTCTGTAGGCATTTTTATTTGTGACTCCCAGTTTAGTAAAGTTTCTCATTTACCCATGGACTCTAAATAGAGTTCTTTGGAGATCCATGTCCTAAGCCAAGGGTCTGAGTTCAAGTGAAGAGCTCTTGGCCTGAAGAGCAAGGTAGGCCCATTTGAGGTAGCTGCAGTCATTCTTCTATATAGGGGTAATGCTGTAAGGTGCCTCTTTTCAAGATAAATCCCTAGTCATATTGAAATAATTAAAGTCTCAGTCCATGATGCTGCCTTCATGTAAAGTCTATCCTGTTATTATCTAGTTTGGAATTCTCTACTCCAGCATTTCCTAAAAAGTGTTACATTTTCCTAAAATGTGTTTCATTAAAAAATGTTAGCTTGTCAGTTAAGTGTGGGAAACATAAGTTTAAATGAGGCTAAACAAGTTCCTTCGTACAGACTCCTCCGTCTTTCATGTGTAACCAAGTGTGGTGACTCTGGGGAGGAATGGGGGCAGGGGTGGCAGGGTACCATGTACATTACCCAAACTTATTTGTCCACAGAACCCTTTTCTCATGCATCACATCAAGGCCCTGGCTTTCCAGTAAATGCTGCCATATTCCATCAGAGAGAACAAGAAAGTTGACCTATATACCTACATTTACTAATCTTTGAAGAAAGGGCTGACAACCTTTTGTGAAAATCTAATCTCTTTTGCACTAGAGTGCTAAGTAAAGGGAAGGGGAGGCTGTGGCTTCGAACTTAAGTGGAGAACTAACTCTTCAGACCCCCCCTTGCTCAAAATAATCTCTTCCATACATTCCACAAATTAGAGAGCATTTGGATGGTAGAGTTTGTCTGGAAGGGACAGTTATTTAACTCATCTCATCTCTTCACTTTCCTCCTAGCAGGGCAGGGAGAAGCAGCACCTAAGGATTTGGCAGGCTTGGGGTGGGGGGTGGGGGGGGAGTGCCAGGGGTTTTGACAAACGAAGGCCAGAGGGAAGTGGGAAGATGAGCTATCAGGAGATGGTAGAAGAGTGTAAAGGGGAAGTAAAACTCATGCCGCTGCGTGGACTCCAACTCATAGCGACACTATAGGACAGAGCAGAACTGCCTATAGAGTTTCCAAGGATCGCCTGGTGAATTCGAATTGCCAACCTTTCGGTTAGCAGCCGTAGCACTTAACCACTAGGCCAGCAGGTTTTCCAAAGGGGAAGTAGGAGGGTGCCAAAGATAGATTTCACCTACTGGACAGTTATGTTGAGGCTCCCTGCTCCTGGTGCTAATGAAAACGATCTCCTTTGGCATATAGGATGCTGATACCCGAGCTAGACACAGAAAGGAATTACTCAGCTGGCAAAAGGAGAAGATCCAATTTTACCATGTTTATGTTGGGTACCGTCAAGTCGATTCAGACTCATAATGACCCCATGTGACAGAGTAGGACCACCCCACAAGGTTTTCTTGGCTGTAATCTTTACCGAAGCAGATTGCTAGGTCTTTCTCCTGCAGAGCCACTGGGTGGGTTCAAACTACCAACCTTTCAGTTAGCAGCCGAATGCTTCATCGTTGCACCACCAGGGCTCCTTAGTTTTACCATAACCACTTATAAATGGAAATGTAACCAAAAATGACCTCTGACATGTTGGTTTTGCTAGCTCCCTCAGGAGATCTCAGACATCTTATTTACTTGCAGAAGAGAAAGGAGAAGTTACAACATTTTTTAGTGCCTACTATGGGCATAGGAAGGAGCCCTGGTGGCACAGTGGTTAAAGAGCTCAGTTGCTAACTGAAAGGTGGGTAGTTTCAACCCACCAGCCACTCTATGGGAGAAAGATGTGGCAATCTGCTTCTGTAAAGATTACAGCCTTGGAAAGCCTATGGGGCAGTACTCCTGTGCCCTATAGGGTCACTGTGAGTTGGAATCGACTCATCGGCAATGAATTTGGTTTTGGTTTTATGGGCATGGAATATTCAATGCTTTATCCATTTAATCTCACAAGAGCTCTGAGAGAGGAGGCTGGTAGGTGTCAGAACACTCCTCATTGCTGTAAGCCCCCTCCCTATCAAATGATTAAAAAGTATGGTTTCTCTACCCACCTTTCCAGGTAACTCTCAATGATGACCTTGTCGTCAGTACTGGATATAGCAACGGCTTGGCTACGGTACATGTAAGTGTTTCATTGAGAGTCAACGGGGAGTTACATGACTCTTTAAAGAAAGTTAGGGAATTACCCACAAAACCACAGAAATCTGGGCTTGGGTAACCATGTCGAAAGTAGGATTCATTTATCTAATTCTTTCTAGCTGTCTTGGTAACTGTCCTCACAATTTCTTTTTGAAAATGGCTATGCTAACCCTTATATGTATGCATTCTGTATATCTGTGGAAATTACATGTGTAATTATGTATGTATGTGTATATATAATTTTATGGTTATATATGTGTACATATCTCATTTATTCAGTATCATTGGAGATTGATGTATTATATGTAAGGGCTAAAGCTTCTTTTATTTTAGCTGTTTGGCATTTGTAAGTTTTTCTAAACTGTTTACATAGTCCATGTATTCTTAAACTGTGTATTCTGAATAAAATCATCTATTGGTGATTTTAATTATGCTCTATGTTTTAGTACATTTATTCCTTCAAGGACTTTTGTATAAGATTGCATGGGAGGGGGCTGCTCACTTTTCTGTCACTTCTAGATGATCTCAATATGCCTACTTCTGGTAGCAGCTCTGCCCATGCACATGTATAATTTGTTGTTTACCACGTTGATGTGTGAGCTTCAAGAAAACCATGCTTCCTGGCGTTGCCGTGTTATGTGTAAAACTAGAGCATAAAGGCTCTAGGGCAAGCCTCGGGAACTTTTCTGTAGAGTGAGGTGCTCAGACTTGCCTGCAGAGGATTTGGATCAATGCTCTGCCTGGCCAGAGGTCGTTTTGGGCTTATTTTGAGGTTCTCAGCTATGTTTCAGATTATGAAGTTTGCTGAAAGTCTAACCACTGGGAAAAGGGTCATTAATGTACACTATTTGCACTGGATTATGAAAATCATACTTCAGTCATCCCATTTGCTGAAGCAGTATTGCCATAATACCTCACTTTTCCACTTTAAATAGAATCTTCTTGTTTACTTTTCCCAATGTAGGTAACAACTGTGGTTCACAAAACTAGTACCTCTGAGGAAGTTTGTAGCTTTCATTTAAAAATTGAAACCCAGGACACTGAAGGTAAAACAGCATAATTTACACTGTAATTTTGGCTAAGGATAAAGAACATCAGATAATTTCCCTGATTAGGAAAAAAAAATGTGCTTTTTCAAAAAAACATAATGTTTTAATCAAATTCTTTAGCAGACTGATATGCAAGTAAACATTAGTGCCATTTATTATAATAGACAACTCTAATAAAAATTTGAGACTGTTATTAAATAACTTAATAGCTAAACTAAATGTGTTCATTATTAATCAAGCAGTTATTTAACTACATTACTTTCTAAGACTGTAAGTGGTTGTAAAGTCACAGAAGGGTCTAATTCTGTAACCTTGGATTTTTGTCACCTTTGTGTCAGCATTCTATCCCATGACCCTGAATTTCTTTTATCACCCTGTTAGTGTCCCATCCCTTAGCCTTTCTGTACTACGAGGGGTCTGACAAATGCCTATTTCTGTGCCCTTACCTTCAACTTGGTCCCTCTGGTACTTATGGGCATAATGTTCCTATATGTATATTTTTTAACCTATGACCTTCACATCCCTCTGCTAGTTGGTTCTCCCCTCCCAGTCCAAAAGTGAGCCAGCTTGCACACTGCAGTCCTCCTCTGACCGTCACCCCGGGGTGAGGGTGAACACTGCCTCCTCTGTCCTGATACCTTCCATTTGTGGCTCAGAGGCCTGTTTCTACAGGACACTTTCCAAATACCAGTGAATCCAGGCATCTTCTCTCCCTCCCTCCAACATCCCCCAAACACATTCTCAATCCATATTTACCTCAAATGAGTTCTATAATTTGTAAGTTCTTGGAGAGCAGAGAATTGGTCTACTTATTTAAAAGTTTCCTGGTATAGAGTCAGTAGCCATAAATTTCCATTAAAATCACCTAAAATGCTAGCTTCCAAATCACAAATTATTTTTAAGTGTTCAGAGACCTGCTTATTAATGATTCTGTTCTGACAAGTTCCCAAACAGCTTAAACAATCTACTTTCCTTTTTTTGTTTGTTTGTGTTCTTGCTTGCTTGTGTTGTTTGAGCTAGCATCCAGCTCCAGAGTCTACAGTTACTCGGATTACAAGCGCATAGTTGCATGTGCCAGGTGAGCCCACTTCCACCAAGGGGAGTGTAGACTTCAGGTTCTCACTTTTACCTCATAACATTATCTCTTTATATCTTTTTGAACTTTAAGATGGCCAGAAGATACAAAATTGTTCACTTTTTTCTATGCAGAACACAACAGGCATTATTAAATGCCTACTTATTGTAAAGAATAGCGTTGTTTTTGCTTATATTGGTTTTCTCTCCCAGTTTTGGTCTTCTTCCTAATTCAAACACTATTAAGTTAATTTTTTATGTCTTTTAGAAGGGTGGAGATATTATATAAGTATTAGGAAAAGAAAAACCAAAAGATTCCCCCATAAGCAGCTCCTACTCTCTTACTTAGAAAAATCATGGTCTCCCAGCAAGATCCCTGGCTATTACTGATTCTCTCTCAGTTGAGGCTGCACATTGAAGTCAGCTGGAGAGCTTTTAGAAATTTCCAAAGCTCAGACCTCTCCCCCGCAGAGGTCATTCTAATGGTAGCCAGGATTGAGAACCTCTGATTCCAAACCCTTTGCAGAGTCACAAAACCAGTTGCCCTTGAGTTGATTCTGACTCATGGCAACCCCACGCGTGCCAGAGTAGAACTGTGCTTTATAGGGTTTTCAATGGCTGATTTTTCAGAAGTAGATTGCCAGGCTTTTCTTCTGAGGTACCTCTAGGTAGACTTAAACCACCAACCTTTTGGTTAGCAGCCAAGTGCGTTCACCATTTGAACTACCCAGGGACTCTGCAGACTCACTACAGACTTTCTTATTGCTGCTACAAATTATCACAAATACAGTAGCTTAAAACAGTGCAAATTTATCATCTTCCAACTCTGAAAGCCAGAAGTCCTCAAATTAAGGTGTTGGAAGGCTGTGTTCCTTCTGGAAACCCTACGGGAAAATCCATTTCCTTGTCTTTTCCAGCTTCTAGAGTACACCTGCATTCCTTGGCTCATAGCGTCTACCTTTATCTTCAAAACCAACCATGTAGCATCTGCCAGTCTCTCTCTCTAACTCAGACCCCTGCTTTCATAATCACATCTCTTTCTCTGACTCTTCTGCCTCCCTCTTTCCCTTATAAGGATTATTGTAATTATATTGGGCCACCCAGATAATCCAGGACAACCTTCCTATCTCAAGATTCTTACCTTATTCACATCTGCAAAGTCCATTTTGAATGTAAAGTAACATTTTCACAGGTACTGGGGAGTAAGACATGACATGTTTTTGGCCGGGGGGGTGGGGGGAGCTTATTCTGCTTATCACAGCCAGTATCCTTAAATGTTTTGGGAAATACAGATTTTAGAAAATATGAATACATTTTTGATCTTGGTGATTACACAGAGTTAATCACTCAGTGACAGAGCCAGGACTAGAATACAGGCCTCTTCACTCTTCTTTTCATCACCTCTCAATCCCTCCCTTTGTGTTCTATTTCCTTAACTCTTCATATTTTCAATAATGGTGATTTCTATGGATAGCAGATTTGCTGCCTTATAATCACGCACAATGCCAAAGCAATCAGTATGGATAGCTTAGAAATTCTATAAAATTATAAATTAGAGCTAAACAGGACTTTAAGGATGATGGAATAATCCTTTATTTTAGAAATAAAGAAACTTGAGACCTAAGGAGATGAAGTAATCTGCCAAGTTCTCACAGAGTTAGAGGCAAAACTAGGGCCTCAAACCCCAGTTCTCTGATGCCCAGTCCAATAATTAAAACACCTCTTTCCCTCAGTGTCATCTGAGATCGCTGATCCCAAGAAACAGCGCATTGTTTCTTACTGCCTCCCTCCCAGTTGTTTCCCAGCCATGTTTGTGGTCCCTAGCCCAGTTATTCTCTTCTTAGGATTCATTCACTCCCCAGTCAGCTCCAATCCCTGCTTCCTTCCTTGGCCAGCCCCACTCTCTGTTCCCCCTCAAACACTATTCTTCATTTCCAAGTTCTTTCCATCAAGGTTGCCCTCTCCTGGGCGGCTTCCTTCCTCCCACCTGCCATTTCTACTCTTGGGCACCTATCTGCTAGGGCAGAAGAAGAGCCATGGTTGTTGTCTTTAAATGAATAATGGTTGTCTTGGGGAGGTGTGAATAACGACCCTGCAGAGAGGCAAGCAGACTCAGCATAAAGAAGGGCTGGCTCTCTAACAGTGGAGACCTGTGTGGTAGCCTGTGCTATGAAGTACCCAAGTGACCTTCAGCAAATCAGTTTCTCTCTCTGGCCCTCTTCTGTAAAGCAAGGATATTGGACTAGCTCATCTCTAAGTTTCTCTAGCTCTAATTTTCCATGACTCTGCTATGTATAAAAAGGCTTTTATCGAAAACGTACTCATTTGACTTCATTGACAGGAGGCCTAACTCCAAATTCCAAAAGAGTGCAAATAGAGATGTAATATTGAATATTCTATCCTTTGGTTTTTACAAATTGGGAACAGAATGTTCAAAAATGATGGGTGGAATATGCTTCTGGCTCTGTGATGCTGAAGTTAGGTTGGGAAAATTCCAAAAGTAACTTGCAGTACTTATGCATGTAAGAAAGTTTTTGCCTTCAAATATTCTCTCTCCCGATTAAAAATGCCAGCACACAATTTGTGTTCAGAGGATCTCTTTCGTGTATTTAGCTTTTTACAACCTCTCTGCTGTGTTCATAAGAAAAGGGGGGAAAGGGGGATTTTACTTCTCTCCTTCTCTCAGAACAAAACGCCTTTGGGGAAGATTGCTGTCTTTGGCAGCAGGCAAAGGGCTTCTTGAAAGGAAGGTTTCTGTTCCATGGTTGAAACAGTCTCCATAGCAACTAGTCATCAAGGCTCCAGCAACCTTTTCACAGACACTCTTCACTCGGGAGGCCCTTTTCTGTCCTCTTGACAGAGTATTCGCATCTGTGAGCAAGAGTTCTCTGATTCTGGTGATACTTACCCATCCAAATGGGGGAAAGTCCAGATGTCATATTACAGATCTTTATATTCTCTTCTAACTTGCTAATTTCATGAAGAATGGGTTAAATTTTTATGAGTCAGAAATTTTGTAATATTTTTAATTATCCTGGTAAACATCATATCTAAAATTTCTAACAGGATCTGCTTTATACATGTTCTATAAGGTGCGATTGGGGAAAAGGTATTCCCTGCCACCTCACTAACTCACATTTCACTAATACTAGTTTCTTTAGGAGAGATCGATTCTTTTTTCCCCCTTTTTGAGGCTGCCTGCCCAATTTCTTCCTCAATTCTGACTGCTCTTCCAAGATCTCAAATGTCTAGCTGCCTCTCAATGTCACCTTGATACTTAGCTCATACCTGAAACTCAACCTTTGCAGAACCACACTCACCCTGCCTCTGCCCCACCTAGCTGCCCCTCTTTTAAGTCCTCTAGCTCTGCTTAATGGTAGCACCAAGCTTCTGCCACTCAAAATCAAAGACTGGGAATTATAGAGATAAATTTTAAAAATAAATTTATACTTCTTCAGAGTTAATTTTACAAATAGGAGACTGAACTCTAGAAAGGGAAAATGATTCATGGAAGTCACTCAATAGAACTGGGGTAAGACCCAAGTTTCCCAACTTCCCATTTTGGTGTTCTTTTCTCTTATTAAACAAAAAACAAAAAAAACTCCCACTTTATTCCCTTTGCCTTTCTCCTTAGCGTCCCACCAGCACAATTCCTAGACAAGGGATAGTCCTTGAAACATTTTTTTAAAAAATTAATACAGGCTCTATTGTGACCATTGTGGAAAACAGAGAAAAGTTAAGTATGGAGAAGAAAAGAGGTAATCAGTTATATATCGCACCACCAGAGAAAATGGCTGCTAGCATTTTAGTGTATTTTCTTCCAGTCTTTTCCTAGACATGTTTTTGAGTCCCTTCCCAATATATATTTTTCTTTTTTGAATATGCTTCATTAGAAAAAGGGCTGGAGTGAGAATCAGAGACCTAAGTTCTCATGCGGCTCTGACATGAGCTAGACATGTGTCTTAGTTTCTTAGTGCTGCAGTAACAGAAATATCATGAGTGGCTTTAACCAACAGAAATTTATTTTTTCACAATTTAGGAGACTAAAACTCTGAATTCAGAGCACTGGCTCTAGGGGAAGGCTTTCTCTCTCTTTCGGATCTACGGGAAGGACCTTGTCTCTTTTTAGCTTCTGTTCCTTGGTTCCTTAGTGATCTTCATGTGACATGGCATCTATCTTCTCCCATCTGTTGTTTGTTTGCTTCTGTGCCTAAGCTGCTCCTTTTATATCTCAAAAGTGACTGGCTTAAGACCCACCCTAGACTGATATAGCTCTATTAGCATAATAAAGAAAACCCAATTCCCAGATGGGACTATATCCACATGTATGTTATTGTTGGTGTTGCGTGACCTCCAGCTGATTCTAACTCGTAGTGACCTTATAGGACAGAGTAGAAGTGCCCCATAGGATTTCCTAGGCTGTAATCTTTATGGATAGTGCAATGGTTAAGCACTCAACTGCTAACCGAAAGGTCATTGGTTTGAACCCACCAGCTGCTCTGAGGAAGAAAAGACCTGGTGATTTGTTCCTGTAAAGATTACAGCCTAGGAAACCCTATAGAGTAGTTTTACTGTCCTATAGGGTTACTCATATATAGGGTCACTATGAGTTGGAATCCATTTGACAGCACACAACAACAATAGTCAGGTCTTCTGTGGAGCAGCTGGTGGGTTCAAACCACTGACTTTTTGGTTAGCAGCCAAGCACTTTAACCATTGCACCACCAGGGCTCTTTATCCACATGTATAGGGGTTAGTATTCCAATACATATTTGGGGGGGACATAATGCAATCCATTATACCATGTGACCTTGAACAAGTGCCTTACTCTCATCCTCAGCTTTCTCAGCTAGTTAACTAAGAGCTTGAACTAGATGACTTCTACAATTTCTTTCAGCTGCAGAACGGTGGTACTTTGATATTATTGGTCAAGTGAATAAAGAGTTAAAACAGATGAGTCAAAGGTCTCTTGCAACTCTGAATTTCAGTGATTCTAACATATATACGGTAGAGGGGGAAAAAACTGGAGATCCATATTCAAAAATTAAAGCCCATTAAGGAATAGGGCCTTGTCTTAAAGAATCTTATTCATTTATTTATTCCATTTTCTAACCTCTAATTTATTTTAGCTATAAGCCCAGCAAGGAAGAATCATCATCTGGATCTTCCCATGCAGTGATGGATATCTCTTTGCCTACTGGAATCAATGCAAATATAGAAGACTTAAAAGCTGTAAGTGTTTTAATTATTGCCAATGCTTGGTTTTCTTTACTGCATTATTTTACAGATAAAGTTATTTACTTTCATTTTAATATGTGACTTTCATAGAATCACTCAGAATATTCTATCCAAACCAACAATCTATCTAAGTTTTGATTTTCCAAAGTGCAGTGGTGGCATATATTAGCATGATCTGAAAAACTGAGTGCATATGCTAATATGTTCAGACTGTGCTAAGAAGAGAAACTGCTCTGCAATTCCTTTAAATATTGGATCACATCCCTGTACTCTAACATCCCATTGACAGGTGAATGCATTTAAACAAAAAGGCAATGAAATTAAGTTCAAGCTTTTCTCTTTCCTCCCTCAGCTTGTGGAAAGGGTGGATCAAATATCAGCTGATTACCAAATCAAAGATGGACATGTTATTCTGCAACTGAATTCGGTAAGCTCCACCCCCTCCTCCATTTTTCCCTTACCATTACTATTCAAAATTTATAGGCTAAAATATTGTGAGTCTCTTCTCTCCCATGATTTCCTTAAATCCTTGAATTTGTCAAACAGATTCCCAGCAATGAGTTCCTTTGTGTCCGTTTCCGGATATTTGAACTTTTTCAAGTTGGATTTCTGAGTCCTGCTACTTTCACAGTGTATGAATACCACAGCCCAGGTAATCAGCTCAAGTCTAAAATTTCTTCAGGAGACTACTTTCTATTCTTTACGAACCTTTAGAAATCTACTATAGGCCAGTTTCCTATTTTATATATCGCCTCTCCTGGGGCTCACTTGTCACAAAATCACCAAGTCCTAACTTGGACATACAAATTTCTGCATGACTTTAAGTTAATCATTTCACCACTCTGCTCCCAACTTTAAAATTATTTGCCTCAAGTTTATCTTTGGTGTTCAGTTTCAGTATCCACTTTTTTGAGAAGCTTACCCTTCTTTTTTCCTTTAATCCTTCCAGAATCAATATCTACTCCATCTATAGTTTTATCACATTTTGCAGATAGCTCTATTTTAGCAGTTGTCACTTTGCATTATAATTATTTGTTTACATATCTTTCTCACCAACCCTAAACAGAGTCATCTTCATCTTTGTGTCCCTGGTATCTAACATAATGTCAGGTATATAATGTGTACTCAAATATTTGTTGAGTAAATGACCTCACATTTGATCACTCAGCCATTTCTGAAAATGCTAAATGACTGGAGGGCTCCCATTTGTTCACAGGGCAGCCTGTTCCACCTTGGACAGTTCTAGTTGTGAGGAAATTGTTATATTGAACCAAACTGACATCCATTCATTCTAGTTTTATCTTCTGAAATAACATAGAACATACCTAGCTCTTCTTCCCTTGATATGTATGTATATGCAGGCTCTTCTTCTCTTCTCTAGCCTAAACAATTACAATTCTTTCAACAGATGCTCATGTGACATTTATTTTCCTCTCATTTATGGAAGCACCAAAGATTTCATCCTAAGAAACGGGTATTATACAGTAAAATTTCAAACACATAACTAGGCAACAAGAGGAGATCATTTTGAGGGTAGAGGAGTCCTTCCCAGGACAGCCAACTCACACCACCGTCTCCAGCTAAATATAAGGCCAACTCTGCTCTCTTTCGTGTCACCCCAAATGAACTACACTTTCAAACCACCTATTTTCCATTAGCTGTTTAACCTCTATTGCTCAGCAGAATGTTACAAGTTAAACCATCTCATCCATTACACCATTGTTGTCTAAGATGGCCTTGCCATACATATTACAAATATTTTCCCTAGTTTATTCTATTTTGACTTTGTTTATATATTTTTAATATATTTTGTTTAAAATTTTTATATTAAAGACAATAATATATTATTTTTTATTTAACGAGATCTTTTATGGTTTCTGGGTCCTGAATCTTAGAAAGACTTTCCTCATATAAAGATTATTTTTAATTATATTTTTATAGCCGTTTCATAGATTCTTTTTTTTTTTTTTTTAATTCTGGCATAGGGAATGAGGTAGGAATTCCACTTTTTTATTTTCAGATGACTTGCCAGTTGTTCCAATACCATTTATTGAAGTATCCTTCTTTTCTAGAGGGCTTGTTTCAGTAGTCTGGTTGATAATAAGAGCATTCCAGAGTCAGCTGGATGATGATTTTAAATTCCATCCCAATAGCATGGTAAATAGTAGGAAACTTTGAAAGTAACTGAATACTGGAAATAGACCTGTGTCCTAACATTAGCTCCATCACGATCTCAGTGTAATTTAACCTTCCTGGGCCTTAGTTGGAAACGCTGGTGGCATAGTGGTTAAGTGCTATGGCTACTAACCAAAAAGGTCAGCAGTTTGAACCCACTAGGGGTTCCTTGGAAACTCTGTGGGGCAGTTCTACTCTGTCCTGTAGGGTCACTATGAGTTGGAATTGACTCGACGGCAGCGGGTTTGGTTTTTGGTTTTTTGGGCCTTAGCTATAAAAAGAAGGGTTTGGAATAGGTGATTCCCATGGAAGAGACTCACCAACCAGTAAATATATTGTACAGCAATCAAGCCACTTCTCTTAACCATGCTTTCATTGCCACAGATAAACAGTGCACCATGTTTTATAGCCCTTCCAATACCAAACTGCAAAAAGTCTGTGAAGGAGAAACATGTCAGTGTGTAGAAGGTAAGCTTATGTCACACATTTAGGCTGCATGCTTGCTTAAAGCAGCCACTCCAGGGCTAATCTGGAGGAAACTGTTTGGCAAACTGTCATTTCTCAGAAGTAGAAGTGTCACCTCAGCTAACTGAAAGCTAACGATTCCTTGAACATTGTAAAGCTATTTCTGTGCAACTTCTGACCAACCCTATGGTGTATACCATTCAGGGGCAGAGAAATGCCACACAGCAGTTGTTGGATATCAGGGGGTTAACAGGATCTGAAAACTGAATTTTTTGCTTCTCATCAGGTCTTTTTTAACACAATAGGAGCACAGCCTAACGGAACAGAGGCTCAGAGACTGAACCACCAGCTCCCCTTCTTTCACATTATCCTTCCCAATTAATGTAATTCTCTGTTTACTGTCCAATTCCATTCAGTCTTTTGTAAATCTAACATAGCCTTCTTGGCTGAGGAAAAGTTCTAGAACTCACCAATAATCAGTAACTGGTTCCGTGAAGGTCTGGCTTTTTTTGTTTTGTTTTGTTTTCAAAATCCTTAATATCTACACATTTCCTAGATACTTATCGTACCATCTTAATAGATGTAAATCAGTCAGATTATCATTTTGGAATATTATCATCAAGGGATATATGACTTTTGATCATATTCATAATGGAAAAATTTCCCCCTTTCTTCAAGGGAAGCATGTGCATGTAGGCTGAGACATGACTGCCTCAATCTAAGTCTTACGTTCAGGATTTTATTTTTGTTTTTGTTGCTTATTTGTTTTGGTTTGTTTGTGCTTTATATAGTGTTCCATTTTCTGGAAGAGGTGGAAATGATAGGTCTTAGGAATCTAGTATTTGTAAGGTTGTGTTAGATTGTTCAGGGCTCATCAGAAACTGTTTACTCCCAAAGACAGTGTCTGCTTCCTTAATCTAACTTTTACCATTTTCCACAAAATCCAGCTGACTGTGGACAAATGCAAAAAGAATTGGATCTGACAATCTCTGCAGAGACCAGAAAAGAAACAGCATGTAAGCCAGAGATTGCATATGGTAAGTTCAAACATTCAATATATAGTTCCTTTAAACTTGATATTTATGAATACATGATCAGTTAGAATGATCAAAAACTTTATGTAGTGATTATATGGATACAACATTCCATAGTGCTCTCAAAGATAAATGCCATCTATTTTCAGCATTAACATGCAAAATTACTTAGCCTTTAGTAAAGAAATGTGATTTACATTTAAAATAATAGGAGTAACATACGCACCGAGCCAAGACACTTTACACCAATAGATCCTTTTGAATTACAGATACTAAAACACATTCAAAGGGACCTTTTGAGAAGTTACAGAGGTGTAAGATTTCAGAACTATATTCTTCCAGTTAATTCAGCAGAGGCAAAGGTGGTTTGGGGGCTTTAATATTTTTACAAATCTCTTCAAAGACAAAGTAAAAATATAATTTACTAAATAATTTTAATACATGCAGAGTACATTCTATGGTTGAGACCCTCTCCATTTCAAAGAGGATCTCCTTCTGGTGACTAGAGCTTAGAGCTGAATCAAATGCCCAAGTACAGTAGCAGTCTTGCCTCAAGCCCCTGAGAGAATTAGCTCTTTTATTTTCTACCCATAGTTTCTGATGTTCATTGTTTCTGATATTCATAGTTTCTCAAATTCAGGACATTTTTCATCCATTGTAAGCTGCTAATTTACACAGCCTTTGCTTCTGCCACAATGAGTTTATCTGCCTATCGTCTACCTATCTGTCTGTCGGTCTATCTACCTGTCTACCTATCTACCTACCTGTCTGTCTGTCTATCTACCTATCTGTCTACCTATCTATCTGTGATGCTGAGAATCTCATAGATTGAGAGTATCTCAAAACTGGACAAATCTTTTAGGTCATTCACTTCAACCCCATCAAAAGCAAAAATAAAAAGGATCTTTTCTCAAGCCACATAGAAAGGCTGGGTTCCTCGAAACTTGTCATTCCAGAGCTGAGGTCAGATACACCACGGACTAAATAAACATTGATACCTGAATGAAAAGAAAACAGAGTTGGGGATGGCTGAGTCAGACAGCTTCCCGGATGAATAAGAATTCTATCAAGGCAAGAGAATAAAAATATTCCCATGGCAGACCTGAATGACAGATAAAGCACCCCCACACCCCACCACCCACCGTGGCCATGAGGGAGGCTGTGCCCACGACACCTCACCCCCTCTTCTGTAGGCACTCCTTCACTACTCCTAAAGGTTCACAATCTGAATTTCACATCTAACAAGAGGGTATTTGGTTGATTTCTTTTGTGTGCTTCTGTTTTGTTTTTGTTTTTTATTTAATTTGATTCTTACTCTAATCAGCCTCCAGTGGCCACGACTAATGATTCTAAGGTAGATTGAGAGATTGAATTGAGCTGAGGGGATTTGGGCAGGCCTCTTGGGAAAAAATAAGATCTCCCTTATGGTGCCTATAATAGCTTGCCATGCTTTGCTTCTCATTTGTTTGACAAATGTCTGTCTTCTATTGAATATGAGAGACGTTAAGCATGAATTGTTTTTACCAGCTTATCAAGTTAGTATCACATCCGTCACTGAAGAAAATGTTTTTGTCAAGTACACTGGAACTCTTCTGGATATCTACAAAACTGGTGAGAACTCATTCATTCATTCAACAAATATTTAGTACTTACTATGTGTCAGGCATTATTTTAAGACACAGGAGGTATAACCTGAATAAAACAGCCAGGGTTCCTGCCTTCATAAAACTTATATTCTACATGGGAGATATACTTTAAAAAAAAAAAAAAAAAGGAAATAGACAAATAAACTAAATAATTATTAATAAGTATTATATATGAGACTGACATGGAATTAATTGGGGAAACTACTTCAGTGTGGCAACAGATAGTCCCTTTTAGGAGGTGATATTTTGGAAGAAAGGCCTGGTGATCTACTTACAAAAATCAGCCAATGAAAAAAGAAAAAAAAAAAAAACCTATGGCTCACAACTGTCAATCCGCAACTGGGTGCCGTTTTGTTCCGTTGGGTATTGGGTAGCCATGATGAGTAGGGAGTGGACTCAATGGCAACCAACAACAATAGCAGTAATTGCATTCAAAATGTTTCTAGTCCTTATGATACTGACATTTTTATATATTTAATGTATCTGTTTTATCAGCTAAATCATGAAAATTTACTGAAATGTTATATTTAGTTTTCCTAATTTTCTTAATTTTTACTTCCCTTCAATCGTCTGAGTTTTACAAATATTATTTGCAAAGTTTCAGGATTCAAAATTTTTTTTAATCTTAAAAATTCATTATATTTCTCACTTTTGTCATTCAAAACAAAAAACATTTTCAATGATACTCGTAGAGTGTGCTTCTTAGCTCAAGTAGATACATGAGACTAAATGGGCAGCTTCTATCTGGAGGTGAAAGGAGAAGGCAGAGAGGGTCAAGAGCTGGTTGAATGGACACAGGAAATCAGGGTTGGAAAGGAGGAGTGTGCTGTCACAGTATAGGGAGAGCAATTAGGGTCACGTAACAATGTATGTATAAATTTTTTAGGAAGGACTAACCTGAATTGTAACATTTCACTTAAAGTACAACAATAAAATTAAAAATTTTTTATATAATTAGTTTTTCTCTTAGACATTGATATTTTATTTTATTTCAAATGGCGTATCATATTTCTTCATTTTATAACAGCTCTTACTTCACTTTTATGGTTTCCTTTACTTGATTTTGTGCAATTTTATCATTTATTAATTGATCAGGCAGCTTTAATAGCTAAAATTTTTTTTCTTAAACAGCTGAAGATACTATTGCTATAACTGCTAGAATATCATAGCCAAATCACTAAAAGATACACACACACATATATTAATTTCCTAAATGTTTACTCCTACTTCACAATGTCTATGAAAGTGAATCTATCAGGCTTGATAAGATTTCCAAACTGGTCTTACAGTTCTAACTTCTACAGTTTCAGCTGTCCATTGAAATACCAGTATTTTTCCACTTTTAATTATTGCAATTTTTTTCAGCTCCTCAGAATATTACTTAATTCTGTCTAAGGTTTATTAGACTATGGTAATTAATACCAAATTTACGAAGACAATATTTAAAGTGATTTGCTTGGCTTGTATCTGTTATTGTATTAAACCAAACCCATTGCCATTGAGTTGATTCTGACCCATAGCAACCATGTAGGACAGAGTAGAACTGCCCCCCAGAGGGTTTCCAAGGCTGTAAATCTTTACGAAAGCAGACTGCCACATCTTTCTCCCACGGAGCTGCTGACAGCTTTGAACCGTCGACCTTCCCATTAGCAGCAGAGTGCTTAACCACTGTGCCACCAGGGCTCGTTATTGCATTACCCAGAGATAATTGAGTAGGTGATTTGATCAGTGCCAAATTGAAACTTCTGGAAATTTCACAATTTGTGCTGAAGCCCCAGATTTCTCCCTGGCAATACATTTATTTACACCAATAAGATGTTCATATATTATAAATATTTCTCATTGAATCCTTTTTTTCCCAAGCTTCAACAAAACAGTTTGATACACTGTTCAGATGTTATTCCTTCTAGTGCCTTTATTTAGATCAACAAAAATAATTAAACCATATTCAAGTCTTCAATTTTTAATTTTAAATAATTTTAAAGTTTTATATGAAATAGTTGATTTTTTCAATAATGATTGAAATTTTATTTTATTACCTCATTTATATTTTCCAAAAAGCTGTTTTCTCATTTCATTAGATACAAATTTTGCAATAAGTAGGCCCATAAATCTAAATTGCAACAATGTTTAATTGATATTTTTCTCTTTGGAAATTCTATTAAATATTTTAAGTCTGAAATGCTTATTTTTAACTATACTTTCTAAATTTTTATTTGCTTATCAACACTCTAATAAAAATTTTCTAGTTTTTATATATGAAACTAATTTGTGATGTTCATTTATATTTTTCCTCATTGATGATCCCAAATTTTCTTTATTTGAACCATGATTGCTATTCTGATGAAATATGTAAGCATTTGTCACTTTCAACTTTCTATGATCCAACTCTTGAGCATATTTGCATCCAACATTCACATCACAAGCAATAATAAACCATTCCTATTTTTACTGAAATAATCAAATATTTTTCATTGCAGAAATACAAATTATTTGTTTTATTTTGTATGATTCTTACATGGCATCGAAAGACATTCAAGGCTGTTGTCATTTTTTGCACGGCATCAGATGATTCCCAAGTTGCAGTTCTTTGTTAATATTTCTTCTTTGTTCTCCTGTAGATTAAGAAGGCTCATGGTTATGACATTTAAAAGGAAATGTTAAGAAACTTATGCTTATTTTGTTATCTCCTCATTATCCCCAACTGTATTTTTTAGTATTTATTATAAATTTTGAATTTATAAATATCAAAATACCACATACTTGCTACTTCCACAAGAATTGCTGTACACTAACAATGAGCCCTGGTGGCACAGTGGTTAAGAGCTCAGCTGCTAACCAGAAGGTCGAAGGTTCAAATCCACCAGCTGCTCCTTGGAAACCCTACAGGGCAGTTCTACTCTGTCCTGTAGGGTTGCTATGAGTCAGAATCGACTCGACAGCACACAACAACAACAACAGCAATAAGCCAAAACAAAAACTCAACTATATAGAATCAAGGGCAACTGCGGTATGTAGTTTGAGGATAATGGTAAATTGGTATTTCTCCTAAAGCACATAATGCTTAGAGTAGGCAAGGATATAGATAAAAAAAGACTATTGATAGTCAACCAAAAAAAAACCAAACCTGTTGCTGTCAAGTTGTTTCTGACTCATAGCAACCCTATAGGACAGAGTAGAACTGCTCTATAGGGTTTCCAAGGAACAGCTGGTGGCCGAGGTTAATTAACTATTCTCTCTTGAGTATGTTTGAAAATTTCCATAACAAAACATTTTTAAAATGATAAACTTTTATTAAGCCACACTGCTTACTATGACAGGGGCTGAACTGGCAGATAGTGCTGAGGTGTTCCTCAGATGCTGCAACAGAAGGCCATGTATGAATGGTCATCAGGACAGCATAAGAAAATTAGCTTGAACTGATGCCTGCACACTAGAATTTGTATCCCTAGTTAAATGTTAACATTGACACATTGGCTATTACATGCTTTTTACCAACCAGTTTAGAAGTTTTTCTGTATTTTAACATTTAGTATGATCTGCCAGAGCTTAGCAGCTAGATACTAGCCCAGAATATACAGTAATGAATCAGACACAGTCCCTGCATCAAGAAGTTTCCAGTCTAGGTGGGGAGATAGACAAGCTGAGTAAAACACTGTGATAGAAATCCAAGTATAATGAGAGTAAGGGGAGATAGAGATACTTTTATGACAAAGAAGCATCAAGGAATAAAAACTATTTAGGTGAGGACTGAAGATAGTTTAAAGATGGGTAGAAATTCAATAGGCCAACATGAGGAGGAATGCATTCCAGGTAGGGGAACCGGCTTTTTGGCTACTTCTGAGTTCTTTGGGAATTCCACAGTCATTCTTCTTAAATTATTTATTTATTTTTAGGGAGGTGACTTATATGAGGAAATTTACATAACAAAATTAACCATCATAAAGTACAATTCAGGTATTTAATACAGTCATAATGTTGTACAACCATCATCTCTTCTTAAAATTTTCTAAGTCTTTCACATCTTGCACTTTTTTTTACAAAGCTGCCTATTGCCAGCTCCCAAATACTTTTATATTTTGCTATATAACATATGGAGCCCTGCAGGCACAATGATTGAAGAGCTCAGCTACTACCCAAAAGGTCAGCAGTTGGAATCCACCATCCACTCCTTGGAAATCTTACGGGGTAGTTCTACTGTGTCCTATAGGGTTGCTGTGAGTTGGAATTAACTCGACAGCAAGGGGTATGTAACATATGACAATTAATATTGTTCAACTATAAAAAAGTTCTTTTAATTCCTCATTCTACAAGAGTAATAACAGGCATGTATATAGTGCCTACTATGTGTCATGCAGTGTTCTAAGCACTTGTCATATATTAACCCACTCATTCACACAACAGTACTTACAAGGTAGGTTTTATTATCATGCCCATTTTTCAGATGAGGGGTCTGAGCCCTTATAAAGAGAGTATAGTCATTCGCCCAAGGCCACACAGCTAGGAAGTGGCAGAGGTGGGGTTTAACCCAGACAGTCTGCCTCTACAATCCATTGTTTTAACCATATGGATATTGCCACTCCCTAATAGCCATTAACCTCTCACTATAAATTTATGCTGACTAATAAATAGCCATGAGGAACCTGAAAGTATGAGGGAGTTTATAATTGTGACTTTAAAACATCAATGTGATAGCCTTACTTGTGTGACTTTCAGGGGAAGCAGTTGCTGAGAAAGACTCTGAAATCACCTTCATTAAAAAGACAACCTGTGCTAATGCTGACCTGAGAAAAGGAAGACAGTATTTAATTATGGGTAAAGAAGCCCTCAAGATAAAACACAATTTCAGTTTCAAGTAAGTCACCAATATTTTTGAGTCTCTGATTTTCCCTCCAAATCTTAGCATATTTTATTCCTAAATACCCTACATGTTTCCTATGTACCCTGCTTTTAACCAGCAAACCATTATAAGTATAAATGAAATAATGGGTTTAAAACAAGAACAATTTAAAACTATAACCGTCAAAATCATCACAGCAGCTGAGGGCTCCACTGACTGATACACCAACCGAGTGATTAAATCTGATGATGAATCTGAGCGTGCTGGTCTGACCGCCCCTAACCACCACCCCTGCTCTCTCGGTGTGTTCTCAGACCGTTCTGTTTTTAAAAAGGACAATATTTAAGTAAGCATTTTATTATCTTTAAAAAAAAAAAAACTATAATCAACACCATTCCTGCCTTTACCCAGGAGAGTCTCAAACAAATTCACTGTCTCTCAGGGGTTGGTGAACCTTCCCTGGGAGATGCTGGTCCACAAGAGTTTGGCTGACCATCTGGCCTGTGGGTCCTGAACAGGACTGAGCTCTTACAACAGAAATCAAATATTGCTTTTCTGTATTTGTGGCCATAATCACAAACATTTTGTTTTTACTTTTTTCTTGGTAGGTACATCTACCCTTTAGATTCTTTTACCTGGATTGAATATTGGCCTACAGATGCAACATGTCCATCATGTCAAACATTTTTAGCTAATTTACAAGAGTTTGCCGAAGACATCTTTTTAAATGGCTGTGCAAATGCCTGAAGAAGTTCAGCTGCATACAGTTTCCGCTTATGGACTCCTGTTGTTGAAGTGTCTGTTATTTTTTGTGTTGGTTTTTGGTTTTGTTTTTTCCTTCTTTTTTTTTAAACATTCACAGCTGGTCTTATTTGGAAAGCTCACTTAGAATTAGTGGCACTTGCTTTTATTAGAGAACGATTTTAAGAGCTGTAACTTTCTGAAATAACACGGCCTTGGGGGACATGTAGACAGATACTCCAGGGTTATTGGACACCAGAAGCAATGAATTGAAACCTCTCCTAAAACCAACCACCCAGGAATGTCTGCTGGGGCCAAAAGAATAGGTGCATTGAAATGTAGTATTTTACAAAAACATGGCCTTTCCTTTAAAGAAAATACCAAGGAACAGAAAACTGATCATTAAAGCCTGACTTTGCTTTCAAAATGTGTTTAAAAGCATATGATTTTATGCTAGGTCAGCTTCAACAACACAAAGGCAGGCAAGTTGAGAGAGGTGGAGAAAGGTGGCTGTAGAGAACCTTAACCCTGAGAAAGACTAACCTTAGAGTTCTCGGCAAACTGAGAAGGTAGGAGAGTTTGTTTTCTCTCCCTCCCTCTCCCCTCCTCTTGCCCTCCCTACCTGTGATGGGAGATCCCTCTATTCCTTTTCTTTCCTCCCAACACATATCCATTTCCCCAGGAACTTGCCCTTTCCAGTAATTGCTACATTGGAAAGCAGGGCCCAGTGTAGCAACCTGGTAAAAAGAAACTAAGTGGAATTAGGAGATCTTGTTCTAGCTTTAATTAGGTTCTCTTTTAGAGCCTCAGTTTGAGCTTTGTAAAAGAGGATTTATAACAGGAGGTTAATTTTTTAAGTGACATTCTGCAGCATTTTAGATCTCATAAAAGAGCTCTCACATATATTCCTATTTAATGTCTCAAGACTCTCACAAGGTACAGAATATTATCCTTATTCTATGGATGAAGAAATTGATACTCAGAAAGGGGAAGTAATTTTCCCAGCCTTGTAAGGGGCAGAGTCAGAGACCAAACCCCAAGGTGCTCTCTCAGTCAACACACATCCCGGTTTTGACATCCCTATACCATCACAGGTTTAGTTGTCTAAGACTGAAGCAGGATGTAGATGGAGTTTCTCAGGCATCATTCAACCAGCCCCGCTGACATATCACAAAGTGACATGATGACAAATTCTGGATGGAATGGCAGCAGTGACTGAAATGCAGTCTCTTTTGAAAAATCTGATTGGGGAAAAAAAATAGTAATCAGCATTTTGCCAGTTGGGTGGAAGCACACATGGCCTTTCAATGTGCCTGTAAAGAAACACTAAGATTTTCCCTTTCCAGGAACTAAGGATTTTTTTTTTTTTTCCTAATGTCAAAGCTCACATTGTAGGTGCTCCTTTGGCAAAAACAACCAATGTGTCCAATCTGTCTGAACTGTCTGCCAGCACGGGGTGTGGGGCCTCCTGAGCAGGCCTGACACTGTCTCCTGTCATCTTCCTGCTAGAGGGAACCACGAAAGCTGCCCTGGAGGCACCAGAGTCTCTGAGCTGTTTTGTTGCATCTCCCTGAGCCCTGTGGCAAACAGTGCCTAGTTCCCAGGCAGGCCAAGGTGGCCTAATTAACCCACAATGCAGCTGAACTTTCAAACATCAAAGCAGGCTTTTGTGAGTTAGCCTGGTTCTGTCTAAAAAATCAGTCACTGCCTCCTCAGCTAACCTTTGTACACTCAGACATCATGTCCTTAGTGGGGCCTTGGCTGACCACCTGTCCCCCGCCAGTCCAGGCTGGAACCCCTACTCAATCCTCCCCTAACACCCTGTGCTTTCCTTCCAAGGTCTTGTGTACCTGCCATTAGTTCCATAAATCATGTATAACTATTTGTTTAGTGTGCAGCTTCCTGGTTATACTGCAAGCTCCATGGGGACAAGGTCTGGGTCTGCTCTATTCACCACTATCTCCTATGCCTGGCACATTATAGGGACCCAACAAATGTTTGTGGACTGACTAATATAAGGAGTGTGAGGAATCAGAAGACCCAAATTCTAGGACAAGCGCCTTAATCTCTTTGATAGCCTGTAAAACAAAGGAGTTGAATACATTAATGTCTCTTTTATCTATAGCTCTAAGAATATATCTTATGATGTGAAACAGAAAACAAAACCAAATGACATGGAAACATCTGAACGTTGGGTGATGTATTTCCATCTGTAAGTGTAAAGATGGCTCAGAGAAGAGAGCAATCCCTGCAAGCTGGAGAAGCTGCCTGAGGCTTCCCGGAGAAGGACTGGTGGGATTTGGGCAGGTAGAGAGGGGCAGGAAGGCTTTTCTGGTTGTGGAGAAAAGCATAAGGCAGGTTTCCACTGGGAATAAACAAGATGATTTTGGGTGGTGCAGATAAACATTATTTTAATAGCTACATGTTTAACATGTATTAGAAAAAATATAACTAACACATGAAGGCCATGATGCAAATTTTCCTGTTAGAATTTAAATAAATTTATTTAAGTTCAAAAGTAAGTCTATTTAAGAAAAAACATTCAGTAAATAAAAGTATATATTCTCCTTAGGACAAAAATCATGAGGTTGGCATGCAAATGATTAAAGTTTAGAAGACTCTAGCTTAAGGGAAAATGTGGAGTTGATTATGTGTGTTAGGCACAAAGTGAGGAGGCCAGCCCCACTCCTTATTTCTCAGTGAGTGACCCTGAGCTAAACGCATGTTCAGTCGTACCTTCCAATCCCTGCCATCGCTAATTTATTCAGCAACATTTAACATGTATTGATTGGTAACTGTAGGGCAGGCATAATTGTAGGTGGTTGGCATTGAGATCCTTGCACCCAGAACTTAGATTCCAGCTGAAGAAAACATACAATACACAACAGACAATAATTAGGTAATTGGTCATGGATGTTAGAAAGTGATAAGAACTATGGGAAAAAGAAAACAGAGGAGGAAAGGGAGATTGGGAGAGGTGAGGGGAGAGGTTGCTATTTTAAATAATCAGGTCAGGGTGGCTGTCACTGAGAGGGTAAAATTTGAGCAAAGACTTGAAGGATGTGGAAGAGGTAGCCATGTGGCTTATGGGGAGCAAAAAGAACACCTAGTGCCCAAGCCCTAAAGCAGGAACATGCCTCATGTGTTGTTACTGGAAGAACAAGGAGGCCAGTGTAACAGGCACAGAGTGAGCAAAGGGGAAGGTAGGTAAAGATGAGGCCAAAGAGCTCACAGGGACCAGATTATGCAGACCAAGAAAGGGACTTTGACTTTACTCAGAGGCAAATGGAGCCATTGCAGTGTTTTGAACAGGGAAGTGACATGACCTGTCTTCCCTTTAAACAGCCACTTTAACTGCTGTGTTGAGAATAAAGCAAGGGTAGAAGTAGAGAGACCAGTTAGGTGGCTACTGCAACAAGCCAGGAAAATTATGATGGCGTCTCAGAATGGGATGGTGGCAGTGTTAAGCGTTGAAAAGCGGTTGCATTCCAAGTATATTTTAAAAGTAGATTCAGCTGGATTCCCTGATAGATTGGAAATAAGGGTGAGAGAAATAGAGGAGTCAAGAATGACACCAAGATTTTTGTACTCAACAACTGAAAGAATGGAGTTGCCACTGACTAAGATTGGGAAGGTATAGATGGGACAAATTGGGGGAAGTTCAGAGTTAGGAGTTCAGTTTTTGACATGTTGAGTTTTAGAAGAGGTCTATTAAACATCCAGCTGTAGGAGTCATGAAGGCAACTGGTTTACAGTTTTTGGGTTCAGGAGAGAATTCTGGGCTAGAAATAGAAATTTGGGAGTCATCATCATATTAAAGCCATTAGACTAGATACAATCACTACGGATGAAAGTATAGCTAGAGGGGAAAAAAAGAGGCCAAAGATAGGCCCCTAGAGCATTCCAACACTAAACTGTCAGAGAAAAGAGGAAAAGCAAAGGAGACAGGGAAAGAGCAACCTTTCAGTTAGGAGAAAAATCAAGAGAGAGAGAGATGTCCTACAAGCCAAGTGAAAGAAAAGAGATTCAAAAGAAGGAACAGTGATCAACTACATCAAAAGCTACTGAGAGGAAAAGTAAGGTGGACTTGGCTGTTGGATTCAGCAATACAGAGGCCATGGGTGACCTTTACAAAACAGTCTAGGTGGAGTAGTAGGAATAACCTGACTGGGTTTAAGAATGAATGGAGAAGATTTGAAGACAGGAGTATGGACAACTCATTTAAGAAGTTTTGCTACCAAGGGAAAGAAATGGGATGAGGAAAGTTCCTTTCTCATCTTCCTGGGTGGGAGGATAGGGAGGAGGTATTGGCGAGATGAGAGGAGAGGGGAAGGGGTAAGACTGTTGTCTAGAGGAGAGGGAGAAGGAACAGCCTAGGGACTTGTAATATAATTGCCTCTCAGCATTTAGGGTCCTCTTCAGGTTTCTGGTCATGAATTTAAAGTGGGACTAGTCAGCATGAGTTGTGGGATTTTCTCCAGCCACATTCAGATCCTTTTCAGAATCTGATGAAAGCATGGACCTATCAATGCCCTCCAGTCAACACAGCTGGGAACACCTGTAATTAAACAAAATTAGTTTATTAACTCTTTGCAACTGAGGGAGAAAATACACCATAGGAACCATGGGGCTCCTCAGTAGAGTGTTAGACTTATTATAGGATTTAAGGGGCCCTGGTGGCACAATGGTTAAGCACTTTGCTGCTAACCAAAAGGTTGGTGGTTCAAACCTACCTGGTGGCTCTGCGAAAGAAAGACCTAACAATGTGCTTCCATAAAGATTACAACCAGGAAAAACCTATGGGGCAGTTCTACTCTGTCACATGGGGTTGCTATGAGTTGGAATCAACTTGTTGGCACACAACACAACATTATAGAATTTGTATTTGTGGTGGATTATTTTGGGGAGGGTTCAAGGAAGTGGGCTTTGTCCTATATTGGGAGCTGTCAGAAGCAGAAGTAATCATATTGTTGAGTGTCTTAATAATTCTTATCTAGCCAGGAGAAAAAGAAGCAGCAGTCACTCACATTAGCCAGGAAGGGAGGTGTTTGATCATTTTTGTGGTTTGGACAATGTTTTTGTTTTATTCTCTGCTCAAACATGATTATAGAGTAGTCCTTTTCATCTTGATCCATTTTGTCTGATGTTGGTGTTCTATAGCATTAGACACATTGAACATGACAGTCTGGCTCTGAGCACCAGGCCAGCTCCTAGCAACACCAAGGTCTAGCTGATAGCGTCAGTCTAGCTCCCAGCTAACAAGGGCTGCTTTTCCATTTCACAGAGCCTTTTTCCCAGAAAAATGCACATACACAAACAACGTACGTATTTGCATACTATTTCAGAGGCCTCCGTGAAAGTTCAGCAAGGACCTCATGATTGAAAACCGCTTTTGGGAAGTTACCAGGCAAATATGAAAGGTTCACA